ATCTTTAGTAGCCTCTCTTACCGGGAAATGTCTCCTAGTGTTTCCACCGAGCCATGGTAGCTTGCTACTGCTCCGGAACACTTAGGCTGGCCGGCATGTGTCCTTCTTCGTTCCTGTGTCTGTCCCTTCGGGGAAATGTCACGCGATGAATACCGGAGTCCTGTTAGCCCGCTACAGCCCGGTTCACCGGAGTCCTGCTAGCCCAGTGCTACAGCCTGGATTCACTCGCTGATGACCGACACGTTCGATGCTGGGTCATGGATGCCTGTCCCTGTAAGTCTGTGCCACTTTGGGTTTACGACTAGCCATGTCAGCCCGGGCTCCTTATCATATGGATGCTAGCGACACTGTCATATACGTGTGCCAAAAGGCGCAAACGGTCCCAGGCAAAGGTAAGGCGACACCCATGGGAATACCGTGCGTGAGGCCGCAAAGTGATATGAGGTGTTACATGCTAGATCGATGTGGCATTGAGTCGGGGTCCTGACATCAAGCCTCCTCCTATCTTTAGCCATCCCTTGGCATCTATTGTGCGCCCACCACGACAGATACCATATCCGTTGGATATTTGGTTGACAAAATCCGTATCCGCATTCATATTCGGCGGATTCGTCCAAGTGCATACCATATCCTTACTAACGGACGCGGGTGCGGAACAAAAATTATCCTATCATTTACTACCTCTGCTCTGGTTTACTAGCCCCCCTCGAATTTTGGGTCAGATTTTGGCCATGATTTTAATTAATAAAATATATGTTACGTAGCAAAAATAATATTAGAAAAACTTTCAAATACGAATCCAACAATATAGTTTTTCTAGTCAACTATGTGGTCAAACTTTGACCAAATAATACAATGAGGGCTAATAAACTTAGACGGAGGTAGTACATCTTTAGGTGGCAATAGTGGGTAATTTCCTTTAACTTCATAGGCAATTATCATGACGGATGGAAAAATCAAAGAAACACACTGTCCTATATTATTATTAATTATTAATAAATAGGTATTAAGTATTAGGTAGTAGGTATAGCCATACATGTATATACATACTAATTCATTTATGACCTCACCAGGGTCTTCCACAATCAGCTGTGTGAAGTATCTTATTTTGGTTCAATTTAGATAGTTCACCCTCATCCCTACACTACGATGTCCCCAATGGATATGCATTGATCTGCTAAATTTGGATACCCCAAAAAAATAGCATCTTAATTTTTCTGGTACCCATGGCAAATATACCCAGTAAAAGGATCTTTGGAAGTAATAGTGGCAGCAGCAAAGCATATGCATAATCAATTCGGAAATGATAAATTTCGAACGTTAGGATTTTAAGCACGGCAACCCGAACGTTTTTTATGACAATTTTAGTTGACACGAGGTGGCAAGATTAGTCGGCAAGCATGGCAATCCGAATGTTTCTGATATCCATGACAAATAATATATCGGTTTTGCTAAAACTCAGCTAGCTAAGATTTATCTGTGGTCTCATTCACGTTGACGTCCGTCTGATGTAAGAACGTGCTGAGATTTGTGCTGCTGTCGAGAAGATGTTGGGCGCGGCCTGTTATCTGTTTTTCTTAGTGTGCGGCATGTCTTGGGCCAGTTTGTCAGGGCGGGGTCGGCATTTATGTACCTGGCCTCGTTTTGTCGGTGTATTGTGCAGAACGGGGAGAGTCAAGGCAAGCATTTATGTACTTCTCGTGAGCTTTTCCTCCATTTGCCCACTTAGTCTTTTTTTTGTATGTTTGTCTTGAATTTCTTATTTGTGCTATTTTTCAATTTTTACATCTCACAACCTGAGTTTTAACTATGCCTTATTTGCGTCATCAGCCGTCAGATCAATTTGCGTCGGGATTCATGTAGGTTGTCCAATGAACATTACACGCGGCTCGTTGTTTTGTGACATGTTCTTCAATTTTTTCTGATTGTTTGTTAACGATGCTCACGACCCATGATGGTTTTTGCTTTCTATTTAAGAAAACCTAAATCGACGGGCAGTGGTTGTTCATTCGACTTCTTTTCATTTTTAAATGGGATTAGAACTACATGTTTTCCGTAGGGTAGTCGTTTTTTAGGGGATCGCAACTGCATGTTTTTCAAAGGCCGGCCACAAACTGCAAGTTTCTCTAGGGTACCCGCAATTGCAAGTGTTTCAAAGGCCGATCGCACCTACAAGTTTCTCTAGGGTAGTCACAATTGCAAGTTTTCAAGGCCGGTCGCAACTGCAAGTTTCTCTAGAGTAGTCGCAATTGCATGCTTTTGAAGGCCAGTCGCAACTGCAAGTTTCTCTAGGGCAGTCGCAATTGCAACTTTTCAAGGCATGTCTCAACTGCAAGTTTCTCTAGAGCAGTCGCAATTGCATGTTTTTTTAAGGCTGGTTGCAACTGCAAGTTTCTCTAGGGTAGTCGCAATTGCATGTTTTTGAAGGCCGGTCGCAACTGCAAGTTTCGCTAGGGTAGTCGCAATTGCAAGTTTTTGAAGGCCGGTCGCAACTGCAAGTTTCTCTAGGGTAGTCGCAATTGCATGTTTTTGAAGGCCGGTCGCAACTGCAAGTTTCTCTAGGGTAGTCACAATTGCAAGTTTTTGAAGGCCTCTCGCAACTGCAAGTTTATCTAGGGTAGTCGCAGTTGCAACTTTTTAGGGTGGTCGCAACTACATGTTCTCTCCCTTTTCTTTTTCTTTTTCTTTCGTTTTACATTTCCTTTTTCTTTTTTAAGTTTTTTCTCTTTTAAAAAATGTTCATGATTTTAAAAAAATATTTTGCAAATTTAAACAAATTTTTGTGTTTACACAAACGTTCTGAACTTCAAAAAATGTTCCTATTTTGAAATTTTATTCATGAATTCAAAAAAGTCCGTGAATTTTAAAAATGCTCATGCTTTTTTAAATTTTTGTTCAGAAATTGAAAAATCTTCCTGTTTTCTAAAAAAATTCACTTTATTTCATTTTGTTCACAAATTCAAAATAGTTGGGGAACTTAAAATAATGTTTCTGTTTTGTTCAAAATATGTTCACAAATTCAAAAATGTTCATGTTTTCAAATTTTGTTCATAAATGCAAAAAATGTTCAGGGAATTTCTAAAGATTTTTTCAAGTTTTTTAAATATAATTTTTCAAGAAATATTTGAAAAAGTACTAAAACTGTTCGATCTCTCATGGTAGATAGTTCTTGAAAGTTTCATGGTGTAACAACACCCATCAGCTGTGGTGGCTTACAGCACGCATTTAGCATTGTTAGATCGTGAGTTCAAGATCCCATATAAGCGCTTTTCCGGCCTTTTTTTATGACCAACGTGATACAGCGTTGCATCTGCCAATGGACTGGCTTGTTTTAACACCCAATGACTTGTGAACAGGCCGAAAAGCCCAAACGGCCTGTGCGGGAATTAAATCAATTTGACAGCCCAATAGACGCCACCCGCATTGGATTTCGGGAGCCTGGTTACGAGGAACAACCAAAAGCGGGCTTTGTCTCAAAAAAGAAAACAAAAGCGGGCTGGGACAACTATCACGTGACACCAGCTTACATCAGGTGAATGAGACCATATTATAACTCAGCTAGATTAGTTCTAGGCACTCCCATAATATGTTGAGTAAAAGGATCTTTGAAATTAATAGTGGCAGCAGCAAAGCATAATCAATTACCCTGGAGCAACTTTGAGATATTTGGAGATGCTACTTGCAATAAACGCCTGGCCCAAACCAATTGTGTTTTTGGCTCCAAACTCAGCGACGCCCTTCATCGTCTTGTCTCTCAAGTCAAGAGCAAGCACATATGCTGTGTGCTCCATGTCCCGGTAGTCGATCTTGGCGAGGAAATAAACAAGGTTGTCGTCTCGCAGGCTCAGGGTGGGTAGGCCAACGTGCAGTCTCTCGAATGCTACCGTACCCTCATCGACCACAAGACTTGGCATCAACACGGAAATCTGCGAGGAATCGAGCTCGAGGAGTCCCGTGTGCTGCCAAGACGCCTCCGCCAAAGGCAGCGAGCGGGCGTCGACCGCCATGCTGCATTTGGCAGCTTTCCAGCCATCGAATGTGACGGCTCCGTCCTCCATGAACGAGCCGTGAACGAGCCGGATCTGCAGCTGGGTGTAGTGGCTGAAGGGCCCTCCGTGGCGAGGATGGCCGGGTCGAGGTCCAAGTCGCCGTGGCCGTACTCGGTGGCGTGGACGCAGAAGTAGGAGACGCGCGGCGGGCAGGCGGCGCAGAATGTGACCTTGATGCTGGCCTTGAGGTCGGGGCCCTGCAGGAGGCAGGTGGCGGTTGTGGCGTCTTCGCGGTCGGCGACGTAGCCGAATTTCTCGATGAGGACGAAGTCCGTCTGCTCGCCGTCGGCGTAAGCGGGCGGAGGCAGGGGCGCACCCATGGCTCAGCTTGAGATGGAATGCATTCGCGTTCTTGGTCTTTGGCCTTGGGTCTTGCGTGCGCTGATCGATATAAGTAGAGATGATCCGGTGTTTATGGTTGTATTGATCCGATTCACAAGGGTATATGTAAACCAATTATACTTTTACGCTTTTGGTAAGACCAAGATTAAATCCAGTCATTGCAGCCCAAGAGACTTGAAGTACAATCTCTAAACCCGAATATACAATCTCTAAACGAGTGAACTTTTTCCTTCTCTACTGGTGTTGTAATACATACTTGCAGTCTTTTAACTTTGATCTGAAGCCTTGTTCAGAAAAAGAATCATAGTACTAGGTACCAAATTTCTTAAAAATTTGTACCCCTGGGTCCTGTCGCAGTTTCAGAAATGTTATCAACCCTAGCAGGTAGGAATAAAGGATTGAGAAACCCATTTGCCTCTTCTTCATTAGCGCTCGATTTTATTTTATTTTTATTTTTTGCAGGAAATCACTCACATTGACCAGCTGAATGTATAATAAGACAAGGAATCGATGAAATAACGTCTTTGCCATTTATCTCAAAAGAATCTCCACTAAGTACTCCAACAAAAGGCAAAGTGCTGCCAACATGATAGCAATTTTCATCAAAGCCTAGGCATCATCGTCCTGCATACTCTCACTCTTCCGCTTCGCCATCAACGACAACCGCGCATCTCGCTCGAGCTCGTACTCCCTGTAATCGGCTCTCTTCAAGAACGACTGCCTATCAAGGTACTGATTCGAGCTCTTCTTGTACGCCCCCAGCTCCTCCTCCACGCCCTTCTCTGCCTTGTACTCTCCCCAGTCTTTCTTCGTCTTGTCCAGGACACTCAGCTTCTGCTTCTTCCTTATCTGCTCCAGAATGTTGTCCACAGCGGACGGCGAGGCACCCGCTGCACTGGCCTTCTCAACCGCTTCCTTTGAATCCGCATCTACGAGTTTCTTGATCTCAATATCCTTGCCAGCAAAGTCCCTTACCTCGGTTATCTGTTGGGTCATACAAAACTAGAATATTAGCCACATCATGTGGAACCAGATGCACAAATCATACCAAGTGTCACAAGTTGGTCATCTGTATCCACAATTATCAGGGTCGTTCCAAAGCTTTTGCCAGTTGAACTTAAGCTACTTTACAAGAATGAACACGGAACAGCAAGTAACAATGTAAAAAAGCAACAGCAGTTACACATTTGCCATGTGCTGGCACAATTTTTTAGATGGAAGCTTCACTTGAATTTAACAATAATAAAATATCTGCATGATGCTGACAGTACGGCTTTACCTCCACTTTCCCTCTTCCAGATGCAGCAGTAGCGGCATCTCTAACAGCTGCAAGAGCGTTTGCCGCAAGTTTTTTAGCATCCTCACTTGTTTTGTGCTGTGTCTGTTGTTGCTCATTTTTTGGGACTTGATCATTTGCAGAAGCCATTTTTGGTGGAAGGCCCAGAATGGTCATCCAGTTCTACAGGATAAAAAATGCAACTTTTAAAATAAAATAAAGCTACCATAAATAGAAACATAAAACATAACAGTTTGAGCATCAGCTTGCCACACGGTTAACTTAATACCAGAAAGATTACTCACATTTGTGGCCTTAGGTTTCTTTTCTTTTGCTGCTGTTTTGAGCTTAACCATCGCAGGTTTGGGCATCTTCGCAGGCAAACCGCTGTTCATTTTCTTCCACATATCCTCCACACGTGAGTTTGTGTCTGCCAAAAAATGAAGCTTCACGCCATGTGCTTATATCTACAAAAGCATTTGTGGAATAAAAATAGCAAAAATACGCATAAGGACCAAACAGGCATGACATGCTACACTGCTGTCAAAAGTTCAACACAGGGCATGCATCAGAAAACTTCATTGACATATCATAGGTTTAGTTATGAGAAATGAAATCAGGTGGCCTACACAAGCTCATGTTCACTTCACGATAAACAATGTTTACAAAAAGAAGAGTTCATGTTCACTTTCCTCTATTTCTCCTTGACTGGTGTTTTGCTACCCATGCCTACTTGTCAGTAACACATTAAGGGTCCAGTTATTAACATGTTGTCCTAGAATGTGTGCATTCAAACTTCTCTAACTTTGTATCATGTTGTATTGAAAATTATTTAGTCTGGTCATGTGAGACTTAACACAATTATGTTTTTCATGGAAAATATTCCATAATATCACAAATTCATAAAGTTTTACTAGCATAGTCACATGAGAATTAATGCTAAAGCTGCATATCAGATAGCACGTCCATGTCACAAATGGAGGGAGTAAAAGATGAGGAAAATTCAAAGGCAGCCAAATGGCTGGTGGTCACTGTTGGAGTTGAATCGCTCAACTCCTGATACTAAATGTTAGAACAGAATCACTCAAGCTCTACCCCCACCCCCACTCCATCCCCCCACCCCCTACTCACACATACACATGATACACACCATGGTTTTCAAGTCGATGAGTCGTTCTGGGGTAGCGACTCGGAAAAAGTCAAGCCTGCAGTCGCGACTCGAGTCATGAGTCGACACTAAGTTGAGTCGCCATTTTTTTGCGACTCATCGACTAGTCGACGACTAGTCACGCGACTCGAAAACCATGATACACACATGTGCTCTTTGTATTTTATTCATGCTTGAGAGGCTACATCCTGCCACAAGCTTAGTACCTTCTAAACACATACACATGGCCTCAATATATAGGCTGCCCAAACCGACCTAGCTAGAAACAAACTGAAGCGATTTATATCTGGCAGCATTGCTTAACAGCTAAGCCACTCTGATTAATGTCTGGAGAAACACCAACTTTATTTTGCAACTCAGAGAAGAGAAAATCAAACATGGAGATAAGTTAATAGTACAGACCAGTATCATGAAGCTGTTGCTCTGAGTTGTTAGCATCTCCAGAAGCTGGCAGTTTTTCATCTGCAACCATAGCTTTGGACCCTGGAATTGACATAAACTATATGAGAATTACTGAGTGCATGACTGCTAACTGGAAAAGAAGGCCCATGCTAACAACAATGTTTGTGGTTTGATTACGCTTTAGTTGCACTATCCGGCATCTGCAGAATGCTGAACGTTCCAACAGAAGTTTTACTCTTTTTGTTAAATCTTTGCAGCATGCTTTCAATTCAAATAGCATATATGCCTGTTTCAGAGTAGTGCCCATAAACAGAAATACATTTGGCTTGAAAATATAATCAAAGTAAAATCATTCATTAGAAATACTCAACACATTTGAAGGTCTTATATTTTGATAGGGAGGGAATAAATGATAAGGAAATTGCTGTGTACAAAAGGAGAGCTGCAACCAAGTGACCCCAAGGTGATCCTCAGAAAAAGTTCTGTATTTCAACATTTAGGCCATGTTTGGGAGAGCTCCACTCCTAGCTTCACCTCCAAACTGCTAGTTTTGGAGACTACCCAAAATCCCACCAGGCACTCGGCTTGCCCATCATTCATCTCAGCCGAAGCGTCGCTCACTCTCTCTCCCAGTCTATCACAGCAGCAGCGGCACTCAAGCAGCACAAGCCAAGCCGCTGCAGCGTTGCTCCGGGAACAGCAAGCCCAGCATGCAGTGCCTCGCGCCTCCGACGAGCACCGGGGCGCCTCGTCTGCGCCGCGCTCCTCCCCAGCGCCGCCCACCTCCTCTGCCTCATGCTTCTCCGTGCCGGACGGCTAGCCCAGCCTCCCCTGCTCCCGAGCAGCCGCGCCGCCAGCGCCGATCTGGGCGTCCCTGGGTACCCCCTCTCCCTCTCACTATCCAGCTGGGCGAAGGGACGAACCTGGCGGCGGCTTGCTGGAGGCAAGGAGGATTCTCGATCAGCACTTGGCGTCCACGCGCCGGTAGCTCGGGCTCCAGATTGCGCCGGGAGACCACGAAAACGGGGAGGGGATCGGGGCGCTGCTGGAGGGTTTTTTCCTCTATAAACACCTAAAATAACTACCGGGGAGGGTAAGGGGGGCGGGGAGCCACTGGGGCCCAGTTCTTTTCAGCTTTTGATTCTCCAAAATCAGCTTCTGAGAAACTTCCCACAGAATCAGCCATCGAGTTCTTTTCTGAGATTGTGGTCTGAGATTATGGGATGAGTTGTGTGCTGAAATGTCTGCAATGTCCCTGAACTGAAACTGTGTGTTGAATTGCTTTCAGCCATCAAGCAAATCATCTACTCCTACCAAACAAACTTACATCCATCTATGATCTATCCATCCATTGTTCCATGTACAGAGAAGAACTAGGAACAGGGACGAACAAGAAGGAATAGAGGCTGCGCCCAGGGTGGCATTACCATGATCAACTACAACATGAGAGATTGTGGAGTATAATACATCCATTCATCAGTCCATCCATCCATCAATTTTGTAACAAAAAATTGATAGAAAAGAGAGGCATGGGGGACAGAACAGAGAAGACAGGGAGGGGAGGAGAGGAGAGGAGAGCTCACCTTAGGCGACGGCCCGGGCGAAGTCCGGCGAGGCGGCGTCGGGCGTCGAGGCCAGCGGCTTCAGGTGAGCGGGCGGGACGGAGGAGCGGCCGGGGCGGGCTGTCGGGCGGCGCGGCGGCGGCGGTCCTGTAACCCTATCGCGAGCGCGAGCGGGGAGGTGGGGGATCGAGCGAAGGAGAGGGACTTTTTTTTTTGAGAGAGAGAGAGAAGGAGTGGGACTAGTCGTGCGACTCGTTTTTTCTGGGCGGGCATCGAACTCCGCTCTTCCAACAGTGAGCTGATCAGGAGAACCATCTCAACCAAACGCTTTTGTTGTCTAATATGAAGCGATCAACTCTTTTGAACTCGTTGTTTTCAACTACCAGCGTATATCCAATATTTTTTGCATTTGATGCATGTGCCATACTAACTAATCACTGTTAGATAAAATCCTTATGTAAATAATTTATACAATCATATGCACGTCATACGCTAAAACATCGTATGAAAAGGTATTTTTTTTTCTTGATTGTATATACATGGATACTTCTAGGGTTGTTTTTCTCATGGATTTCTTTGGTGCATCATACACTATTTTTACGCACCGCGGTCCCATTAATTTACGTGAAAATACTACGGTAACTTTGATCCGGAAAGAAAAGTTGTTTGCAACATACACTATTAACTGCTACAAAAATAATACGATAATTTATAAATCATAGACCTGATAGTTTTACGTACAAACATCATGATAGCTTCGATCCTGAAAAAAAAGTTAGAAACATATCTCTGCAACTCCTATGCAAATAACATAGAATGTCATGCAATCCCACGGATCTTACCTCAACGAACGAAAAGGCGGCTAGGATTTCTACCTCCCGTCGGCAGCGCCGTCGATCAGTGGCGCTATTGCCATGGGTGCGCAGTGGATCCCGGCGCTTGCCGGTGGGAGGGCTCTGTTTTTTGGTGCTTTAAGTTTTGCTAGGGTTTGTGTCCAGCTCATGAAGACGAGACGGCGGTAGCTTTTGAAGTTATCGGACTAGATGTACTATAGTTACCAACATGGTTATTTTGTAGTTATCGGGCTAGATATACTATCACTACTAGGGAAAACCCTAGCAGTAGCGCTGGTTTTGTGCTCACTAATAAGGCGCTATAGCTATTGCTTAGCAGTAACGCGTGCCCGCACGCGCTACTGCTAGGACAAATAGCTGCAGCGTTTGTTCACTCCCACGCTATTGCTAATGTAACTACTGGCAGCGTGTTTTCTCTCCATCGCTACTAGTCTTCTTTTTTTATTTTTTTTATTTTTAGTGTATTTATGCGCCATCGTATAAATATTGGTACAATACTAGTTATGAGGTTTACATCATTATGTCCATAACAGTGTGTCAAATGAAGATGGATTAGGTTCAAGTGGAGCCAATATGTGGTGCATGTCAAAAGTATACTACTAATCCAAACTTGATCAGTTTGGACTAGTAGTACTTTCGATGTGCACCACATGTTGCCTCCACTTGAATCTAATGCGCCAGCACAAGCTATTTAATCATCACCATAGTCATTACCACCAACAATATGTATTTAATCACCACTAACACTAGCTAATAATAATCATCATAGTCATTACCACCAACACTAGCTATTTTATCATCATAGTAATAGTGTAGCACATCATCATCATCAAACTCATTTCTAGCTAGCTAATCACTCCTGTTGCTCTATCTTAGGTAAAATAATATAAAACATGTGTAGCTCTTCTCCTTGATCAAGTTGGAGCATGCAGATGAACCTGTCTCCTAATCGTGGGTAGCGCATCTGTTTGCTGCCTCCTAGTACTTCTTTGCGCTTCTTCATCACACATTTGGTCCAATCTTGCATTATTAAGCATCTGTCGCTAATCTTGAATGCACTAAAGTAATCTATAGGATATCTTGGCCGTAAGCTAATAATACTCATGGTACCTTTAGTCTCGATCCCATAAGGCACAACATTCATCGAGAGTCCCTGTTGAAGAACATCGTATGGTAACATACTTAGCAATGAAGTTTAGCTTCAAAAATAATGTATGGAAAGATGCACTGAGGACAAATAGTAAAAATCTTACCATCATTCCTAAATAGATGTGACCGTAGTTCATTACGAACATTATTGGTCGCACGTTTTCAGTACTAACATTTCTAAATGCCGGAAGAAAATTTGTCTTAACAGTATCAAGATCCTCAAGCCATGAAACATAATGACTTAGCTCCTCGCAGTTTAGTTCAGCCTCGAGACAGTAGTAGGTCTTGTCTACCAAGCGCTGGACATGTTTACTTGCACCGAAATAAGCTGACAATACAAATTAGTTATCAACTATTTTTGAATAAACAATATCAAAGACATAAATATGGTTGAGAAACTTACATAATGGTATAACTGGAGGCGTCTGCACATCGACCCAGATGTCGGTATTACCTTCAATATCATCTTCCGGACGAATATCAAAGGTGATAACCATATCAGGCTCAAATGCATAAGTCTTGCATAGTGCTCTCCATGTTTTGCATCCAAAATAGGTGTAGTCGTCTGAGTTGTATAATTTTGCGTGGAAAATATAACCAGCTCGGTCTTCAAGTAAACTTTCTTTTCCTCCATAGTACAACTGAAACCTATCTTATCCAATACAAAAACTCTTACATGGCAGGGAATACGCTAGTAGAATAGTAAAAAAAGACTTGTCATGCTTAATGTCATGCTTAAATTATAAGTTGAAGCAAATGAAGCAAATGTCATGCTTAATTATGAAAAAAGACTTGTTGTTGTGACTTACTGTATCCACTTCGAAGTTCTCGTCCAGCTTGATGCTGAAGCGCCTATCATCATCTAGGAAGATTCCGTCGCACAGGTCGCGCTCGTCTTCGCAGTATTTGCAAATACCGAAATCCTTTTCATCGTCAGACATTTCCTATGTTCATAGTTAAAACATTAATTGAAAATCGATCGAAGACAACTACCAGGATACTCAACACACAAATCTGGGGCACTCGATATTTCCTACATCTTCTGGCACAAGTCATGCCAAAATTCACGGAAAAATCCGGCATGACCTTTGCTAAAATAGAACATATCGAGCGCCTGAAATTTGCCGGAACGGAAATGAATCAACACTCCGGTAAAACATAGGCCACTCGGAGGTGTAACCTGCAAACATGACCGGCCACTTGGGCAAGCACATATCCTATTTGAGCAAGACAAGATATACATTTCAAAATATCTTATAGGACTCAAATTAGCATCCATTCAATAAGCAAAAGTAAATCATCTCATGCATCCATACATCATCGAATATTATCACTAATACATCCTGAATAGTGTCATACATATAATATCACTAGTACAACTAAAACCCTAGCACACGACGGATATCAGCGTGGGCGGTGGACACCCACAGAGAAGAAACCATCACGGGATCATAGCTCCAGTGAGATCCCTGGGGAACCTGCCAGGTATTGGAGAACCTGTGCTC